TAGAATTAATAAAGGTTGGGAATGACTTCCTGTAGAAGATAAGATTCTAGTTGGGACTTGAAGGAAGCCAGAAAAGTGAATAGGTGAAGATAAGGAAGAAGAGCATTCCAGTGATGAATAGTCAGAGCAAAAGCACAAATTTGAGAAATACAGTGTCTTGTTTATAGATCAGCAAGTAGGTCATTGGATCTAAGAGGATATGGCAGAAAATAAGGTGTAAGAAGACTGGAAAGGCAGGATGGGGTTAGATTATGAAGGGCTTTGAATGCCAAGAGAGGATTTGGTATTTGGTCCTGACTGGATAGGAAGTCAGCTGGAGTGTTTTGAGTAGGGCTAATTTGGTTGGGTCTGTGCTTTGGGAAAATGACTTTAGTGGTTGAATAGAGGATAGATTAGAATGGGGAGAGATTTAAGGGAGCACCAACCAGCAAGCAAAAGTCCACGTGTAAAATGGTAAAGTGATGGTAGTGTCAGAAGTAGAAGAAGGAATATTCAAGAACAGTTGCAAAGATGAAATAGATGGGGTTTGGCAAAAAAAAGTTGAATATGGAGTGGGAGATATTGAGGAGTAGAGGATGATGCCTAGGTGATGAACCTGAGGGACTGGGATGATGACATTTCTCTCTACAGTAATAGAGAAGTTAGGAAGAGGGGAAGGTTTGGAGGAAAAGATAATGATATGAAGAGGCTTTGAGATGAAGAAAATGGAAGAAGATGCATGGAATTGCATGGAATTAAATGCATGGAAAATACCGAATGTTTTTAGTAAAGTGAGAGTTAAGGTCCTCATCTCAGGGAAAGTATGACAGCAATTCCAACAAGGCCAGCCTACAACCCTTTGGCATACCATTTAATCAGCTAATCAGCTAGCATTGTGTCAAATAAGAGGAATAAAAAGGAGGTGAGTGTCAGTTGATTGTAGAGTATGTGGAGGGGAATAAGGTGTAAGAAGATTGGAAAGATAGGAAGGGTCCAGATTATAAAGAACTTTGAAAGATAAAAAGAGGATTTTATATTTGATCTTGGAAGTAATAGGGAGCCATTATATTTTATTGAATGTGGAGGGAAGTGGGATATGGTCAGACTTGTGCTTTAGGAAGATCAATTTGACAACAAGGAGAGGATGAATGGTAGAGGGAAGAGATTTAAGGCAAGGAGACCAACCAACAGTCCACTGAAATAGTGAAGGCATGGAATTATGAGAGCTTGCACTAGGGTAGTTTAAGTGTCAGAGGAGAAAAAGAGGTGTGTAGGGAAGATATTATGAAGGCAGAAATAACAGTGTTTGACAACAGATCAGATATGGGAGGAAAAAGTGAGATATGGGAGTGAAGAGTCAAAGATGACACCTAGGTTGTGAGTCTAGGTGGTTGGGAGTATAGTGGTACCTTGACAATAATAAAGAAGTCAGGAAAAGGTTTAGTGGGAAAGATTATGAATTCAATTTTAGACATGCTGCATGTAAGATGTTTATGGGATATCCAGTTTGAGATATCTAATAGAGAGATGGAAATAGAAAACCGGAGATTGGGAGAGAGGTTAGGCCTAGATAAATAGATCTGAACCACATCTACCTAGATCAGGATTGAAACCATGTTAGCTTGAGATATAGCATAGTGATATAGTATAGAGGGAAAAGAGAGGAGGACCTAGAGCACAGCTGTGGGGGAAACCCATGGTTAGCCAAAGTGACATGGATGAAGGTCCTGCAAAGGAGAAAGAGAAGGAACAATCCAACAGGTAAGGGGAGAATCCAGAAAGATCAGAGTCATGAAAACTTAGAGGGAAGAGAGTATCAAGCAGAAGAAGGTAATCAACAGTGTCGAAAGCTGCAGAGAGGTCAAGAAGGATGAAGATTGAGTAAAGGCCATTAAATTTGGCAATTAAGAGATCTTTAGTAACTTGGGTGAGGGCAGTTTTAGGTGAATGATGAGGTCAGAAGCCTGCCTACAAAGAGTGAAGAAGTAAGGGAGAGAAAAGAAGTGGAGGCACCTATTGTAGATGGCCTTCTTACGGAGTTTAGCCTCAAAAAAGAAGAGAGATATTAGATAACTACCAGAAATAAAAGAATTAAGTGACTTTTTTTGTAGGCAATGTGGTTAAGGGACTTGCCCAAGGTTACACAGCTAGTAAGTGTGTCAAGTATCTGAGGCCAGATTTGATCTCAGGTCCTCCTGACTCCAGGGCTGGTGTTCTATTCACTGCACCATCTAGCTGCCCCCTCAAGTGACTTTTTTAAGGGTGGGGAAAACATAGGCATGTTTGTAAGCAGCAGAGAAGTATCCAGTAAACAGGGAATGATTGCAGATTACTGCAATGAAAGTGGGGATAACAGAGGAATAAAACTACTAGAGAAGAGGGAATGGAATGTGATCACTTTTGCACGTATAGGAGTTTACATTGGTAAGAAGAAAGGCCACCTCTTCATGGGAAATAGGGGTGAAGGAGGAGATAAACAGCAAAAGGCATCTGAGTATGATATCAAAATGAGGTAAAACAAAGGAGCTTATTGTGAATGGCCTCATTTTTTTCTGTAACATATGAGGCAAAATTCTCAACTGGAAAGGTAGGATAAAGAGGAGCTATGGGAAGTTTGAAGAAAAACAAAAAGGTCCAGAAAAGATGTTACAGTGAATGGGATAATGAATTGATTATGGAGACACAAAGGAATTTCTTTGCCAAATTGAGGCCTCAATTATGGTTACATAACATAAATTTGTAGTGGACCCAGGCAGCATAGCTTCCTGTTTTGCTACAGCTTCATTCAGCAGCAGGTAAGTATGAATGAAGAAATCAGATGGGCATAATTTAACATTAAGATTTGTGAGAACAAGGTCTTTAATAGTAAAAAGGTCCAAGAGACTAGACAGAAGATAGCTGGAGAATTGAACTGGTCCATCGAGGGGTCAAGATGGGGAAGAGAAGAGAATGTAGCCAGTATAGAGACTGGCAAAGAGCTGATGAGTGGAGGAATTTGAAGTCACAATGAGGATGAAGAACAGGGTTTGGAGTTGCAAGACAGAGGGAAAGGTGGAATGACAACAGTTTATTACTAGATGAAGGAATTTTAAAGTTTACAAGCATGGATATGAAACATTTGTGGGTAAGATCAAGGGTATGACCTTCTCTCTGTGCAGCTGTTTGGGGGTAAAGGAGTAAATTTTTTTTAATAAGTTGAGGAATTGGGAAATCAGAGTATTTGAGGGAATATCAATATTTAATTGAAGACTCCTTGAGCGTCTCAAACACTGTACTTGGCCTACAATATTCCTGAGCAGGGCCTAAAATTGGGAGATATTTAACAAAATAAATTAAAAATACAATAAAGCATTGACATTGCATTATAAAACTAAGTCAATATGCAGCCAGCAAGAATCCTTATGCATAGTTCAGTGGCTCTATTTGAGTCTGACACTACTTTGCTAGAGAGCAGGAGTTGGGAAGAGAGAGAGACTGTGAACCAGGTACTAAACTTTTTGAAAGTGTCCTGGAGGTCTATAAACAATAACTAGCAAACCTTGATTAGATGATGAATATGTATTAAATGGACCTCACAGGAGAAGTTACTACTGATGGTAGAGGGAGAGCCTGGAAGTGGTAATAGGAAACAAAGAGTAAGCCACCTTGCCAACCAAGGCCAGTCAGTATATATGTGTGGGGGGTAAGGGAGGGGGGTGGTATGAATGAAAGTGCAACCTACATTGGAAAGGTTAGTCAGAGAAACTGTGTCATCAGGAGGGAGCCAGGTTTTAATGAGTTCAATAAAATGGAGTGAGCAAAAAAGGAGAAAGTTTAAGATGAAATCCAGTTTGTTACCTATAAAGCAGGGATTCCAGAGAGCATAATGGAAGAATTGGGCAGTTTTGGGGTAGGAGGCTGGGTTGAAGGGAATAAGAAGAAAGCAGTCAGTGGAGGATGGCAAATAATGAGGGATTCACAACCCTTGCCACAGGGTGAGTATAATGGGGTTGAAGTATGTTAATCATTGGGGAATTGGCTCAGGTGAGTTATGATTGTCCACAGGAGTTACCCCAGGGCATCAGGCAGCTCTGTGCATGGCTGGAGAGGTGAAGAAGGTGGGGGTATGTGTAAAGGGGAGGACAAAGTGAGCCTTGTGAGCTATAAGTGCCACCTTATAGCACTATGATCCATTCCTTTGACTCTTTGAATCACAGTGATGGGGATGCTAACCCAAGCAGCAGTATCACCAAAGCCCACTTGTAGGGTTCTTCCTAGGCCTTCACAGTTATCACAACAACCTTAAAGAACAGAAAATCTTCACTGAATATCAACCTGGCTGGCACTGCCCTGCTTTGCTGCAGGTCCTCAACATATGGAGTGGAGGATGAGCTCAGTTTTAAGGGAGATGTTATAAAAATAAAACCTCATTATTCTAAGTTTACTTCATAAGGTTCAAAAGCGATAAAAAGCACTTTGTAACATATACATATACCAGCTTTTCTTATGAGTGGTATATGAAACACATTTAAGTAAGATATATGTAGTATGAATTTTACATTAGAATCATATATATGTTTTTATGTTTTAAAAGCAATTCTTAGCAAGAGTACTATCTGGAGTCAAAATAATTCAATATGCATTTATTTCTCTTATTTCTAATAATTGTTTTGAATTATTAAAATTTAGAAACTGGAAAATGGGTAAATATAAGAAGTCACTCAGACTTCATGAGTATATAACAAAATATCTGCTTATTTATTCAATTATAGTTATATAATTTTATTTTTATTATAATTGAGGGACATCTAAAAATACTTCAAAACCACTTAATTCACTTTGAAAAAAATTCAGCCAGGTTACTAGTTCAGGAGAACATTCTATTTTCTTGTCCTCTTCCATGTATAATACATATATGATATTGCATGTATATTATATTTATAGGTGTAAATGTATAAATATACACTATATTGGAAGATACATTACTATATGTACATACATACATATATGGGTAATTATCATTTTGAAAACTAAAACATTAAATGTACATTCTTAAGGGCCTTATTTATTTTAAATGGTCATCTTACATCAATGACTATTTTCTTAACCATACAGGTGGGGTATATGGATGTGAAAGGTTTCTCTTCAGAATATTTTTATATTTAATTGCCCACATTGTTATTATGATTTACTTATTATTTATATTCCCTTATGCTTCCAGAAAGGATTTTAGCCTGTTAACAAAGTTAGAGTCCATATTACATGTACAATTAGACATGAAAACAAGAATTAAAGTAGAAAAAAGAGGCAAAAAAAATACACCACATAGACTGAGTCTTTGTCACCAAGCTTCAGTGGTAACATTCTGTTCAAAAATACAATCTCACGATCCCCACAACTTCCTTTTAAAAATCTGAGTAAAAGATTGCAGTCACTTTTTAAGAAAGGAAGCCTCTAAGTAATAAACGATTATGTATATGCTAAGTATACATTTTAATTCTTTAAGATGTACTCTTCACAAATTCAACATGAACCTTTTACATTAAAGTTCTCTGAATCAAAAAGTGACATTAGATTACAAAATGCAATAATCATCTGAGAACATTGTACAAATTACAAAGACTTGATTACTGGTTAGTCTGATGATATCCAGGAGAAGACATCTTCACATTAAAATGTGCATTCTAAAAATTAAAAAAAAAGTTGAATAAGTGGTGTTATCACTGTTTTCTTACCAGGTTTCAAACCTGTCAGCACCAAAGCAAACTTTCAGACTCATATTCAATGATAAGCACAGTAGTAGTTCTTTTGTCTTCAAATGTTATTTGAGAACCATAACATTTACTACCTTGTAATAACACCCATTTTGAAATCTTAAAGAATACTAATTTAGCAAGATAAGATAGCTAAGCAAGGCAAAGTCTGGCATATGGCTGGTGATAATGATGATGATGGTGGTGATGAAAACGAATCTTAGGTAAAATATGGGACTAGTGTCTTAACATGAATGTGTCCACTGAATAAAGCCCTTCTTCAAGAAGGGCTTAAAAATGAAATAAAGGATGTCCCCCCAATTCCCTCCAATTATCCTTTGTCCTACCCTTTATCATTAGGCTTCACTGGCTTGATAACTTGCTTAGCTGCCAATCATGTTCCCCACTTAGATTGGAGGAGACAAGAATTAGCTGTACTTGAAACTTCTCATTTTTTGATAGGAAAGCAATAAGGGCAGATAATAAATTGAGTGCTAATTCATTAAAAATTGATCATTTGTCTGTACTGTAATATACAATCATCTGTCTCATACTATACGTAGAGTATGTATACATACATACTGTACCAAGGAGAAGTTAAAAGTTAGGACAATATGTCCTAACACTTTTGTGTGAACCAGAAAGAATAAGGCTATATTTACAAGGAGTCCTATCATATACTAATTCCCAGGATGGAACTACATCTTCTGTGCAGTAATGACAAGGAATGACAATAGCTTGCTTAGGGTTTGGGCACCTTGAGAAAATGACTGACTTACTTTAGGTTATGAAAGATAATATAGTTTAGTGCCAAGAGCTATGAAGTTTTAATCTCTGCTTTAGCACTTACTAGCTATTTAACCTTTAGTTAAATTTCTTTATCTCTCTGAGCTTCAGTTTCCTTTTCTGTAGAATGGAATAGTAATACTTATAGTATCTATTTTTCAAGATTGTTGTAAGCCTCAAGTAAGATATGCAGCAGCATTTTGTAAGTATAAAGTGGTATGTTAACATACGTTATTTTAATTTTTACAGAAAAAATTGTTGAACTGTAGCATCCATTTAGCAATACATCAAGGCCCTTCTCAAGATGAATTTTATAAGTAAATAAGGAAATTAAGTAGCAATCTGATTAGGAGAGGTCAGATATAGCAAAACTTCCCAATGAAATGAGCATTGTACATATAGAATCTAAATACAAATTCCTGACTTTGCCACTACCTATGGTTTAACTTCTCCAAGCCTTCATTTTTTACATCTGTAAAATGGGAGTATTAGACTAGAATAGATGATCACAAAGGTATTGCTCACATTTAGAAATCTCTGAATCTTTTCTTTTCATTGCAAAGCATCCAACAAGGCAATATTCCATCTATCACTTGAGGGATTTTGAAAAAAAAAAAAGGTAATTTTTAAAAGCACAAAGTACTTATGAAAAGGAAAGGAAGATGACTGCTTGATCTAAAACTTCCTAGGATGAAACATATGGGATATGATGAGGCTAATGAAAGGATGTGGCACTTCATCTCAAGTGCCCTGATATTTGGGTCTCAATTAGGAGGAAGTTCCAATTAGAGCTGTCCAAAATTGAAATGGGTTATAATATATCCTCTATTTATGGAGGTTTTCAAGTGAAGGCTTGAAGACTGCTTGTTAAGGATACTATAGGATAGATTCTTTTTCAGGAATGAGTCCTCTGATTTCCCTTCCAAATCCAAGAATCCATACTTTTACACTGTTACTTTAATAGATAATACCTTCTCTCCTATCCTAAGGGTACTAGACCAAGCTGATGATGCCCCTACTTTCCATCCCCAGTCCACTTCAATCCATAGACTAACTACCACAGTCCGAACAGTCATTGGTCAGGGGCTGTTTGGCCTCTTTTTATCCTCCAATGCCTGTGGGGCCTTATTATCTGCCCTGCCACTTTGCTTGCTGGATCCTAAGCACTTCTTGGCCTTTCCATCTGCCATTGAGCTGAACTTTCCTTTATGATTTTCTCTGCTAATTGAAGTATGAGTTTCTTCAGAGCAAGGTCTCTCTAGACTTTTTATTTGTATTCCCAGCTCTTAACATAATGTTTCCAATCTAGTAAATGTTTAATAAGTGATTTCCCATTAATAGTTACCTGCTTCTTGAAGAGGGTTGAAGCACCAGGGTACTTCAGGGATGCTGGAATCAAAGCAACACCCTCTGTTATTGCACTGTTCTTCAGTGACTTCAGGGTAGCCACAATCCTGTCTTTCACTGGATGGAACAGCACATTGACTAGCAGCTGTTTCAAACAAAAAATCGAGTTAAATTTCCTGGGAAGTATTTTTCTTTTTCTTTGGGAAATTTGTATTCTACACCATCTAAATTTAAATTACAATGACATATTGCTTCCATCAAAGAGGTCTTTAAAATAACACTATCTTCTTTCAGCTATCCTCCTTCAATGTAAACAGCTAAAAAGAAACAACAAAAAAAAAATCCGTAAGGATGATGGGTATTCATAAGTCAAGAACCAAAAGTGTCCATGGAATAGTCTTAACTATAAGCTTTTAGACAGGGCTGTTATTCATCTTCTTGTTTTTCTTAAACAGTGTATTAAAGAATATCCATTACGTGTAAAATACTGTTTTGGATATTAATCTGCCCAGCAAACTATAGCAATTTGAGTTGCTTTTTCATAAGCTTAACAAATGAAACCACACACTGACTCGTGTTTTGCTGAGATGTTTTCAGTCACTTTTATTCCTCCGCATTTTTTGACTATGCACATCTTTTCATCATCCAAATATTCAATCTCCAAGATTCTCTCAGTAATAACAGGCTAAAATGGTTGTTATGTTATTTGTAATACCATTTCCCCTGCTTTTGCTGACTGAAAGTTTTCTCAGAAGGAAAAAGAGTTAGTCATTTAAAAATAATTGTTTCTCAAATCCTCTTCTACCTAACTTTTAAAATTAAGAACCACCTTAATTTTCTTACTCTACTTAAAAAAGATAGCACACCACCTCCTTGATTACCACCCTTGTTTTGATTCCTCCATGCCTTGTTCCTTTTAACTCCTCCTCATTCTATTCTTGTCTTCCTGTACTGCAAGAAATTGAGAGGATATACTCACATAAGCCAACATATTCACCAACTGTACTGGAGAACCCTAACATCAGGGCAAATGCCAGGAAGCAGAGACCTTTGAGATCCATTGCAATCTGAAGACTTCTAAAGCCTGAAATCTTGAGAAATATGAAAAAAATCACAGAAGAGCCTCATTTATACTTCTGGGTTTGCACAGTAATTCAGGATGTTTGTCTTGGCAGGGTTTTTTTTTCCTGTGTGTTCTAGCTCCACCTCTTTATTATATGTGAATCCAAAAAGACATCCAAATCAATTATCTTCAGTAAGAATGTGTTCTACTGAATAAGCTGGAGAAGGAAATGGCAAAGCATTCCAGTATCGTTGCAAAGAAGCCCCAAATGGGGTCAAGAAGAGCTGGACATGACTGAAAAACTACTCAACAACAACAACAGCAAAAAGAATAAGTGATAAAAATAATGTTTTGGTGAATATTCTGTGATAGTAAAAAAGTTCATTGTTACATGAATTGTTCAATAAGTTAATTATCACCTTTCAGGAAATCCATTTAGGTCAATTACAGTGTCAAGTAGGAAGGAGAAAATGGCTCATTGTATCAAGCCATGGTAATTTTAGAGATGCTTTTTATGGGCCAGAATTGTGGTCCTAGAAGTATTTTATTAGATGTTAGATCATTCTTTCTACATGCATTTTAATGGTCTTCTGGATCTAAAACTCCATTAAGGTGATGAAGTGAAGGATACAATACTGAGTGACAGGTGCCTCCTGGTGTTAATTGATGTTGAAGTAGTGTGTGATAATTAGGGAGACTGAATAAAGACTTGGATTGATGGGGAGCAAGTGAATTTATTCCCTAATACATATGGAATGTTAGTTAAACTGAATTTAATCTCTGTATACATTCTTCAGTATACCTTCTCCTTATGTTTCTTGTCAAAAATTCTACCTAGAACAAGTGACAAATACAGTACCCATTATTTCTGACACTTCTGAATGGGGTAGAGTATTCTCTGAATGGGAGTAAAAATTACTTAGAGACAGTGTTGTTGAAAAGAGTGCTGGATTGGGAGACAGGTGACCAGCATGATCTAAGGCAATTCACTTCAACTCCCTAGACCTCAGTGTTCACACCTTTTTCTAGAAGGGATTGCAATCTTTCTCCAAAAGGAGTCAGCTCCATGACTCTCTCCTACTTTGACTAGCTGTTTTGGTGAGCAGTCCTATAGCTAATTGAATAACCCTATGATTACTCAGAGGAAAGTAAGTAGAAGTACAATCAAAGAGTGTATAACGTACCTCAGCCAACTAGAACGATCAGGAAAGCATTAACTTAAGCAAGTGACACATTATCCATGTACTTAGAGTGAGGAAGAAATTTATAATTTTCATATTCATTTGTATTATATGTGTAATGAATACACTATTAATTTAGTTTTCTCAAGAGCTGCCTCTCTGGCTTGGTAGTCAGAGCTCACAATGCAGCTTAAACTGATTAATCAAAACTCTGACAGTGCTCACAATCACTGGACCTTAAGTGAAGTGAGTCAAAGATTGTAGAACCTGTTCCCATCATAGAACTCTAGTTCTGTACTTTAGGGGAGGTGGTCATAGCCCCCAAAGACCTGACTCAGAATTGTTGCATCATGGAACTTATGGGTTTCTCTTGGGAAACCACTAAATGATTCTTTGCAATCCACCTTTCCACCTGCTTCTTCCCCACTTGTGATTTAAGTATACAACCTGTGCCTTTACTTCAGCTAAGAGAACATTCCTTACTCTGAAATTGATTGATTAAACTACTTGATTACTGCCACTCCTGTCTTTAGGCCTGCTTTGTGAGGCTCCAAACACTCTCAGGTTAGAGACTGGCTCAGTAAAAATTCTGTTAATGAGGGGAAGAAAGGATTCAAATAGTAGCAAGACACCAGGAATCTACATGGAATCTAGCTTGAAATCTATTGTTCTTTGAATTGGAAAGAGAGGGACCATTGCAAGGTACAAGGAGCAACAGTTCCTTCCAGTAGCCTCTGAAACTTGTGTGAGCTCTGGGGCTGAGCAGACCACTATACAAAATAAGGCTTTAGAGCAACATGGCACTGTGGTTTGGAGATGTGATTTTGAGATAGAATTATGCCAAGAGCGTTCTTTTTTGACAGGCCAGTTATTAAAGTTGTTTCCCTGGGAAATGAAACAAGTTGTGTTAAAACCTGAAAAGAATAGTAGAAGCAGAGGATTGTGGGTAGTTGCAGGGAGCAGACAGACAGCATGAAACTGTGGAAAGTGCTAGATTTGAAATCAGAGAATCTTATTGATTGAGATGGATAACCTCAGAAACATAGATGACCCTGGAAAAGTCACTTAACCTCTCTCAGTGTTAGTCTCCTCACCTATTAAAATAATGGAGTTAAACCAGATGTCTTCTCAGATCCTTTCCAAGCCATACTGAGAAGTAAATGGAGAAGTAAATGCTACAGATACCACCTACTGGGAGAAAAGGAGAGCACCCTCCTGAAGCAAAGAAACAGATGACAGTGACAAGGAGCAGCAGATGAGGACACCCATTGAGAGTGTTTGGATGTGAAAGTTGTCCAAAATGAAGAGTGCTTAGTCAGACAAAAGAACTGTGAGAGGGAACTTCATTGTGAAGGAGTAAACCTAGTCAGCCTGCTTCTGAAGCCATGCCCAGGATAGTCAGGGAGATGAAACAGGTCTCTGAGGGAGGAGTCCACCACTAATGATTACTGTTACTTTCTTTTTAAATTTTTTATTTTTAATTTATGGAATAAAACAAGCATTTCCATAACATAGTATAAAAAAAGATGATTGCCCATGAAATAGCAAACCTTCTCAGGAAATGTACAACTTGCTTTTCCTTTTATACATAAATATATAAAATATATATTCATATATTATATATTATATATAAATATATTACTATATATATTAAATATATAATAACCTTATTGTGTAAACTTTTTTGCTTTTTCTCTTCCTCCCCCCACCCTAGAGATGGCTACCATTAGACACAAGTATGTACATATGTATGTGTATACACACATGCATATACATATATGTAAACTAATTTTTATGCATATTTCTATTTATCAGTTCTTTTTCTGGATGCAGATAGAATCTTCCTTTATATGTCCTTTCCTCAAATGTGTGCCCTGTATCCATTAAAATGTAATAAAATTGTTCAGTTTTCTCAGCCAGTGTTATTGTCAGGGGGAGCCAGGGATTACTTTTGAAGTCAGACACTAAAGCTTTCAGATTTGGGTGGTGGAAATAAGCCAGAGAAGGAGAGTTTGGCAAAGTGCGTTAGGTTTTTTGCATAAGGAGGGAGCCTCTGACACAAGCATAAAATAAATGGCTTTGATTAGCTAAGTTATCTGCCACCTGTAACCTATCCAGGAGCGTAACAGGTCTATCAGTATTTCTCACCACGCATTCTCCTCATACTCTTCTAGGTCTGATATTCTGGGATTCGATGTTGCTGAATAGAAAGCTTGAGCTGGTTCAATTACTTTAAGCCATGTGTGAGTATTTTTGTTTACACGATGATTTATTTTTATAAGAGCGTAGAAGCCGTGGAGTTAGGGTCCATGTATCAAATTCCTTTGTATTTTCCATAGGAAATGGAGCAGTGCTCAATAAGCATTTGATGATTTGATTTGAAAAAAAAAGTTGAAATGCACATACTTCTTGCAAAAATTTTGGCTCCTTTAGATTAACTTAAAGGGAAAATTCATATACTTAAAAAATAATCAATTCCCACTTTGTTGTCAAGCTACCTGCCCTGGTGTTGGGAAAAGACAGTAGATGATATACACCAAAATTTTAACAGTACGTTTTTAAAATTTTAAGAGAAATATCTTTGAGACCATTTCATTCCATCACCCCTGCCCCACCCATTTAACAAAGTAATGGAAAGAGCCCTGGGTTTAGAATCAGAGGACCTGGGTTTGAATTCTGACTTATTTACTTACCTGGGACAAGTAACATGGGTCAAATCACTAAACCTTTATGAGCCTTTTTTTTTCTTTTATAAAATGAGAGTGCAGGATTACGTTATCTTTATCTTTATTTTTAACTCTAAGTTCTATGATCTTATCCCCCACTGCTGAGGGACAGATGGGCACTTAGTGACAGAAAAGTAAAGCTATTATTGTGGTTATGACTGATATGTCCTAATAACACACAAGGAGGAAAGGAGGTGCTTAGAAAATTATTTTCCTGTCCCCAGAATCTTCGTAGAGAGTTATCAAATAGTTATTTTAAAGATTGCCCTGAAAGTCTTTTCTACTATCTTTCCTCTTAGAAACATTGTGGCTCCAATACTAAAGTGAAATATAGAGGAATAACATGGTCATAATATCAGGTAGTAATATGAAGGATGAATTGGAGGGCAAACAGACTGTAAGAATAATTCAGAAGCTATTGAAATAGTTTACACAGGAAGTAGAAATGAGAGGAGAGAGGAGAAAAGACCTTAGAACAAAATCTTGAAGAAATCTGCATTTGAGGGCCTGGAGGCAGAGGAAGAGCTGGTAGAGAAGGCAGGGGAGAAATGATTAGGTATGTAGGCAAGAAGCCTATGTGAACAAGAGCTCATCCCTTCCTTTCTTCCACTCCCTCCTTCCTACCCCCTAGTTTACCATATTAAACTTCAAAGTGAATATTCTCCTCCCTCCCCCAGCCATGCTGTAAAACATTTACCAGCTTACTCCTGTGTCCATTTATGACAAATACCCACATTTGTGTGTATATAAGAACCTTGCCTTGAAAATACACTCAGTCATCAAAATAAAGAAGAAATATTCTTACAGATTTCTCAAGTTTATGAAGTGCTTTCTGATGAAAGAAAAGAGATTTAACAAAGGTGTTTCTCAATTTATAGTTTTAATATACTATTTTTTCCATCTTTGCAACATCTCTCAAATAAGCCCCCTTCTCTCCTCTGACACAACTAGTACTCTAATGCAGGTACATTGCTTGCCTCAAGTCTCTTCCTCTTCGATCTATCCTCCATTCGGCCACCAAAGTGATTTTCCTAAAGTGCGGGTGTGAGCAGGTTACTCCTTGACTCAATAGATTTCAGTGGTTTCCTATAACCTTCCTCTAGGATTAAATATAAAATCCTCTGTTTGGCATTTAAAGTCCTTCATAATTAACCCTCATCCCACCCCACCTCCACCTTTCTAGGTTTCTTGCAACTTACTCACTGTCATGTACTCTTTGATCTAGTAATACTTGCCACCTTGCTGATCCATGAATAAAAAACACTCTATCTCATGGCTCTGGGCAATTTCTTTGACAGTCCCCAAGCCTGGAATTTATGCCTCATTTCTGTCTCTCAGCTTCCCTGGCTTCCTTCAAGTCTTAATTTAAATCCTATTTCTCTACAGGAAGCCTTCCCCAGCCTCATTTAATTCTAGTGGTTTCACTCCACTATTGATTTCCTATTTATCATGTATATAATGTGTTTGGATGAATTTGTTTGCTTATTATCTCTCCCATTAGATTGTGAGCTCATGTAGGGCAGGGACTCTTTTTGGCCTCTTTTGTATTCCTACCACTTGGCATAGTGTCTGGCACATAGCAGGCACTTAATAAATGATGATGAGAAGATTTCTAATGTCCAATATATAAGATAATTTAACATTATTTACATTCCATGGTGAAGGTGAGCAAGGGACAGGACTAGAGCCTGAAGATATGATTGTTTTGGATGAAGACAATGCTTTATTTACACAATGAGATAAGGGACTTTTAATGTGTATGGATACCTAGTTGCTTGAAGCATTGGATGGCTTTCATAAAGCAAGTCAATTCTTGAAAATAGAATTGTAGTTATCACCCAGGTTAAATTGTCAAACATTGATCAAATGTGTGTTGAATGAAGGCATGCCAATTTATAGCAGACCATATTCAGTTTAATAACTGAATTTAAGGAAAATTTCCCAGAGAATAGCTTTCTTTCATCTGATAAGCTATTTTGTTGGAAAAGTTATTGCTTGGAAGAAAAGAAGCATAAGAGACAAAAGACATGGATCAGATAGAAAACTTTGATCCATTTCAAGAAAAGCAGACTCCATTACAATAAAGTATCATCTCAGAGGTGATATTCAGTGTTAAACCTCTTAGGGCCAGTGAATATTCTTCATTGTAATTCTGGCAATTGTATGCAATAGTGAATGAGTAGAATATAATTATCTTAATATACTCACTACTTGCTATTGTTTTTGTTGCAAAGTTCAATTATAGTTGTGGTATAAAAGTTAAAGTCAGTAATATGAAATGATGACTAGTTTCTGATATTTAATATACATGATAATTTAGCATCATTAGTTACTTCCTTATAGTAAAGAAAACTCCAAACATTTTTAAATTTCATGTTTCAATGTATATATGCAGTGGCTCAGACTTAGATTTGATTGTTAATTGACTAAATGTATATACACATTTATAATCGTCAAACTCTAAAATTAAAATTTTGTACTGAATTTGTCATAAAAAAAGATCATATCAGAGACTGTAGAAGATAAAGAAGGATATAATCTGGGGAAAGAAAACATTGGTTTTGGTGATATGAAAGAAGGTCATTAATGATTTTGGAAAAACTCTTTCAGAAGAGTAGTGGTAACAACCAGACTGCAAGAGTTTGGTAGCGAACAGGTGTTACAGAAGTGGCTGTAGCAAGCATAGACTCTTTCAGAGTTTGGCTGTCAATGAGAGACAAAAAGAGACTGATAGTTTTGATGGAGAAGCATAGTTAAAAAGGAAAAGTTTTATTCATTTACTTTTTTTAGGATAGAGTAGACAAGTATGTTTATTGGGTGAGTGGAAGGAGCTAATGGAGGGAGAGGTTGAACCTATATGAAAGAGAAGTAACTGATAGAGCCATGGGAATGTGAAGCAATGTGATCATTAAGTACACGTTGAGGATTAGTTTTAGCTTTCTTTTTTTTTATGCATCTAAGAAATCACTTTAGCTATGTAAATTATCCTAAAAATGATTGTCTCTATTGCCTGGAAGGGAGTTGGTGGGGGGGACATCCACATACTACCATATAAAGCTGTCATTAAACAGTCATAGGCTATTGATTCCAAACTAGAGTAATTGTATTTGTCAATCTCAATTACACAGTAACTGGTGTACAAATTATCCATCCAACAGAGAAATATGCTTAAGTTCTGGATATATATCATATATCATGTTAATATGCCATGCTGTTTTTCATTCTTAATATAGTCACTTCCTAATCAATCATGCCATTTGAGAACTTTATGTATATAGATAATAGAAAATCATAAATTACCTGCTAAGCTGGGTTAGGCCAATTCTCTGCTGCTGCAATAGCTGGCAATATAATTTTCTATGGATCAGCATCCCAGCTGCTGAACGGCTTCCAAAACCTTTGCAGATGATAAGAACGTAAATATTTATCGTTTGCCTTGGCAAAGCAATATACAATGAGTTGGCTGAATGCCTACCATTTTTTTTTTAACATATTAAGCTAAGAATTTAGTAGAAGAAACAAGGATGCTGCTCAAATTGTTTAAGTCTCTGTGTCTAAGTAACAAGGCACACAGAGAAGTGTTCATACTACTTGGATACCAGTTTTGTTATACCACTGATTGACTTAGAATCTTTGACAAATCACATAAACTCGTCATGCCTCAATTTGCATATCTGTCTAGTGGTCTGGACCTATTCCTCCCATGATGGAACAAGACAAATGAGATTATACAGGAAAATCTTTGAGCATATTCAAGTCAATTCATTCAATCCAACTAACATTTGTTAAGTGCCCTCAGTGTGAAAAGCAAAGTGCCAGATGCTTAGGATACAAAGACAACATATTAAAACAATATTTATCCTGAAATAATTTACATTCCACAGGTGGAAGATGGGGGTAGGGGGTGGGAACAGAATGCAAAATGTAACCTCATGAGCAAACACAAAAGTATATACAAAGATATTCGAAATAATTTCAAGTGAGAGAGAGTTCTAACAAATGGGCAGATTAGGAAAGGTAAAGGAAGGAGGAGAGAAAGGAATATGTTCCAAAAATAGGAAACCATCTGTGAAAAGCATGGTTGCAGAAGATGGAAGGTTGTGTATCTGGAGCAGCAATTTTCTACCTTCCCCCTAAAAATATATCAAAGGTATCAACTGGGAAAAATGCTTTTGTCATATAAATCTCTTTTCTTTGCATGAGAAAGCACTTCTTAAATTTCAAAAATCTGTTTGAACATTTCTCTGTCATTTGGATGCTTATCTGGTTTGATTGGAATAGAGAGCACATGAAAGATATTATGAATTAAGACCAGAAAGGAAGATGGGAATTAGCTTTTGGTGGACTTTGAGGGCCACAGTGAGGATTGTGTATTTTATCCTAGAGGCAATGGGGAGCCACTAAAGATTTTTTAGTAGAAGAGTGACAGTTAGATGATTAAAAATATATTCTCATTCTTTAAGAACATCAACTTGACAGCAAAGAGTAAGAGGGTTATAAAGGGAAAAGAATAGGAATAGGGCCACCAATTAGGATATTGCTGTAATAGTCCAAATGAAAAGTGATGAGAGCCAAGAACAGAGATTGTACAAAATTTGTCTGTCATAAAGAAGCATATTGAAGTCCCCAACAATTATTATGTTACTATCTCAGTCTTCATTGATTCAACAAACATTAATTATCTAATATGTAAAAGGTACTTTGATATATTCTGGGTATACAAAGATGAAAAAAAAATATTCCCTACCCTGAAGAAGCTTACAATCTACTAGAAGGATACAATATATACAAAGTAAAGAAATACAGAATAATAGGAATTAATTTTAATAGGTAGAGAGTACTAATGGCTAGGGTGGAAAGAAATAAGTATAGGCCTTGTGTAGGCCATAAGCTGTCCATTAAAGGAAAATTTGGAGATTCTTTGAGTCAGAGATGAGAAGGAAATATATTCTAGGACCACTTGGACAAAGGCAGTGTGGTTAGATATAAAATGTGGGATATCAGGAACATCCTTGAAGTCCAATTTGATTAGAATAGAGAGTTTGTGAATCATAATCATAAATCAGGACCATATTGTAGGGAGTTTTAAATGTAAGGTTAAGTATATTGTAGTTTTTTTTTTTTTTCCCTAGAAGCAATCGATAGCCATCTGAGATTTTTGAGTAAGATAGGGACATGGCCAGATCTGTATTTTACACATATCAGTTTGGGAGAAGGTTCTGGGAAGATGGAAGAGTAGGTCAGAAAATTCCAAGTTCTCCAGATTTCCCACATAAACAAGATAAAATAGCACTTCAGCGTGAACATAGAGAGGTAAAAATAAACAAGAGTTGGGGCAGAACAGTGGTCCTCCTGGGACAACCAGAGAAGATCTGAAGAAAAATCCAGGACTGAGGTTTGGTCCCTGTGAAGTCTAAAAACCTTCGGGCTAGTGCTGCCGAAACCAAGGGGTCACCTGTGGGGCTAGCTGGGTTGGGAGGCAACCTCAGCTCCAGCCACAGGAATTTTCTTCTCCTAGACAGTGTGGGGGGTTTGGCGTCTGAGTTGGGGGAAGACTGAAGGAACCTCTGCTGATAAGGAATGCCAGGTCCACCTGTGCTGCCAAGATGTGGCCTTCAGTGAGAAGAAACCAGTACACCTTGATGAGTGCTGGAAACAGTGGGGTCGGGACACCACTAGCTGTGGGCACTTATAGGAGGGTAGAGTTCCTGGTTTTCGTTCAAGGCCAAAGGGAAGAACTAAAGGAGGATCTGAGGCCAGAGGCACCATCCACCATCCCCCCAGAACTAGAAGTGATTACAATAATAAGATGCTACAAATTTTTTAAAAAATGAGCAGGCAAAGGAGAAAGAACCCAAGCATAGAAAGGTACTATGGGAATAGAGAAGACCAGATTCATCTTCAGAAGAGGATACTGAAGCCAAAACACGGAATGAAACAAAACAAACAAAAAAAACCCCAAACCTCTCTTACCCCAAAGAGTAATATCCAATGGTCACCTGCCCAAAAAAGAATGCATAAAAGAACTTAACAAATACTTTAAAAATCAAATGAGGGAGATTAAAGGAATTTTTTAAAAATAAGAACAATCCGAGAAAAACAAGAAGATTATGAAAAGAAAATCAACCAACTGGCATCTGTGAAGAGGATAGTCTGGAGATAGGAGAGTTTAGTGCAATAGTTAAGATGAAAGGTAATAAAGGCATCCTCAGTGAGCAGAAAGAGAGAGATGTTAGAGATGTCATAAAGCTACACTGATAATATTTGACAAGTGATTGAATATGGGACTGAAAGGGAGGGAAGAGTAAAAGATGATACCAATGTTGCAAACCTAGATAACTGAAAGAATGGTACTACCACCAACAGATATGGGGAAAGTTAAAGGAGAGTTGGATTTAGGGAGGAAATACCGAAGATCTGTTATGAACATTTTGAATTTGAACTCCTAAAAGGATATCCACAGGGAAATGTCCATCAGGCAATTTGCTAGTATGAAATTGAAACTTAAGATAGAGTTTAGATTGCATATTTAAATAACAGAATAAATGGGTTTGTTCAAATAAAATCGACATGGTTTTGCCCATCACTATTTGTTGCATCAACAATAAGAAATAGAGGGGCAGCTAGGTGGTGCAGTGGATATAGTACCGGCCCTGAAGTCAGGAGGACCTGAGTTCAAATCTGGCCTCAGACCAAACACTTGACAGTTACTAGCTGTGTAGCCCTGGGCAAGTCACTTAACCCCCATTGCCTAAAAAAAAAAATAAGAAACAGAGACTAAACCTGTGATATCATGGGTAAAGGCAAATTTCCTAGTGAGGAAATTCCTTCTATCAATGCAGGTCAAAATCGTCTCTGTACTTGTGATCTTAGAGAGTTGGCTAGATGAAGAGCCGTCAGACTTGAAGCCAGCAACACTCTTCAGTGTGACCAGAATCCAATTAAAGTGTTATTAGGAACTATTCTAAATGAATAAGAATAATGTATAACACAGACAATATTAATTTGTAATTTTTCTAAGTCAATATGCATCCATTTCTCTTTGACACCTTTGGTCACTGACTGGTCAAGTGATTTGCCTAGCATCACACCCAGTCTGCATCAAAAGTGAGATTAAACTACGTCATCCTGGCAATGAGGCTAGGTCTCTAGCCCCTCTGCTATGCCACCTATCCACTTTGCTATATCATGTCAAAAAGCATCACCTAAACATTACATATTTTACAGAAACATTGGATGTGTAGAACATAGTATCAGGCATACATGCTATTGCAGCAATAAAATTTTATGTCCTTGCAATTATCACCCTGAAATCAGGATCCTAAGAGGAACATAAATTGCTTTATAGGTTACCATAATATAAGTTTGCCAGGTGCGACTGCAGCATGCCAACCCTTTTCACTCCCCCCCCATCCCGCCCCACAGAGAAGTCTCATGTTTAAATTCAAACTGGTTTAGTTTATCAGGCAACCTAACATCTCCACACTATTCTTATATAGAGAGCTTATGAATTATTCCAACTAGATAAATTAAGGAACTGGATTATAAAAGATAAAGAAAATTATTTGTTATACTTAAAGGTCATTAGATCAATCTCAATTTTACAGATGAGGAATAGTAAATATAATAATAATAATATGATAGTAAATCATTTTCCTAAAGTCATATAAGTAACAGAACTGGAGTTTTAACCCCATGTCTTTTGATTCTAAATTAATACAGACCCAGGATTAGCAATGTGATCCTTTGCTTTAAGCCAGGGCACCCACAACCACTGTCCAAGGAGACAAACTGTGTGCAGACATGACCTAGTAACATGGCCTTTGTAGGTTCAGCAGCTACTTAAGATCTAGAAAAAGAAAGTTCTTGAGACCAAATTTCTTGACATTTCCAAATGGCTCTAAATTTTTTCTGAAAAAAAAAAAGGATATTATTTATCAATGGAAATTACATTAAAGAATATGAATTACCATCTGTTTTGCTAGTGCATCCTAAGAATTATTGAGCATTTCATCTGACTTGCCACTAAAAGCACCCCTTATGTGTTGCCTCCTCCATTAGAATGTATACTCCTTGAGAGCAGAGTCTGTCTTGTTTTTCTAATTTTATTCCCAGCCCTTAGCACAGTGTTTTCCATATAGTAAGCACTTAAATGCTTCTCAATTAATTAATTAATTCAACATTTGTTGAATTTAACCACATGTAAAGCATAAATATAAAGCAATGACAATGATTTGTATGCATGGTCTTGTTTTATAATCAGACCACATGAATTCATGCTTTTTAGCTCTTGGTGTCATTAAAAATCCTATGGAAGATATTACTAATTTCTTTTTTCTGCCTACCTGCAAGATATCAGTTTAACTTTCAGGTC